GGGCCCCTCCCCGTGTGCCCCTAGAGGCCGCATACATTCCCCCTGGAGCTGTGATTTCCACATCTGCCTGGAGGGTCCTGTCCCTGCCATCTGCAGGCCTCAGTCCCTCCCCAGAATCCTGGCTCAGCCTCCCACTGCCTCTGGCCAACCAAGAGGCCCCTGCGGGCCCCTGATCTCTCTGACCTCTGCAACTGTCACACAGAAGATGGGGAGGAGGTGACAGCAAGAGCTGGCTGGGAGGAGGCTGGAAGGGCAGGGCGGGGCGGGGCCAGGCTGTCCACAGCACGGGGCTCTCCCACGGGCAACGCAGGTCTTGTGGAGAAAGCGGCCATTCCTCGCATCCCCGAGCTGGTAGCTCGGCTGAACACGGGGCCCCGGCGCCCCCAGGCTCTTAAAGACCTCAGCGTGTTTCAGCTCATCCCCGGGACCGACGCACTCAAGTCCCTAGGCGTCCTCTCTACCCACATGTCCGTACCCGTTAGACCATTTTTTGCCATTTTACAGGTGAAGGAAAAAGAGTCACAGAACTTGGTCCAAGGTCACATAGCCACGAAGTGGCTGACTCTCGTAACCGCGGCGCTGTGCTCCCTTCCCCGGGGGAAAGCAGTTTCTGGGTTCAAGTTCCTCCTAGATCTCTGGCGCCTAACGGTCCACATTACAGTAAGCATGGGGGCAGGGAGGGCATTCAGGGCAGGGGGCGCCGCAAAGACAAAGGGCTGGGGGGAGGGACCAGGGGTGTGTGTGGCCAGTGGAACCGAGGTCTCTTGGAGGCCAAAGGTCAGCCTCTTTCTGCACTGGTGCAGAAGAAAAAATAACTTTTCCTACCGTTCCGGCAGCTCAAAGCCAAACCCAGCGGCCCTGGAAGGTAGTGAGCACCACATCGCAAGAGGTGTCCAAGTACCAGAACGCGTCTGTTCCTGGGTAGCAGGCCTGGGATGTCTGGGCAGGGGCTCTGGTCAGCTTGTCCTGGGTGTGTGAGGTGGGGGGGTGTGTGCCAGAGATCAGGCCCGTCCAGGCATGGCCCCGAGGTCAGTGCCCGGAGCTGGGGCACCATTGTCCCGGGATCCCTCCTGGGCCTTCGGCCTAGCCAGGGCTTAGGCACAAAATGGGTGCAGTGAGGGAAGCAAGATGGGGAATTCGGGGCTTTGTGTCAGCACATAGCTGTTGCTGGGTGAGGCAGGCGCCACCCCTCCCGCCCAGGCCCCCCATCCCAGGGCGGCCCCCTCTCAACCTCTCCCGTCTCAGGGGCTCTGAAGGTTGGACACACTGCGACCCCCCAGCATTGTTTGGGGAGGGCAGCGGGAGGCTGACAAAGGACTTTCATCATTTTGCTTTTGAAACCATTTCAGTTGACGTCAGGGTATGCTGTGCACAGGGTTTCCGCCTTGGGGAAAACTTAGACCACAGCCCGCTTCCAGATGGAAACGAGAAAGTTTCTAAAAGTGACGTCGGCCGTGCTGGCGGCTTGGTGCGGCTGTGGACGCACTTCCTGGCACGTGCCTTGGATGCACCCTCAGTAGCCCTCTTGCTTTGGAACTCGGAGCCCAGGTGTGGGGTGTCAGGTCCCAAGCTGGGTGCTGACAGAGACACTGTCTGCCAGCTGGCCCCCCACGTGCCCCTGGGCTCCTAATGCAGCTCTGGCCTGAGGCCTGGTACACGGAAGCGCCGGCTCCCTGCAGTCTCCACAGGGGCCCCGGGTGGGGGGGGCGCGGGAGAGGGAGAAGGGGGGGGCAGGGCTCAGTCACTAAGGGCCCAGGAGAGGGGCTGCTCCCCTGGGGAGAAAAACAAATGTGCCCCTTCCTCCCCCATCACAGTTTGGGGAGCCTGTTAAAACCCTCTGCTCTAAACCCTCCCATGCCTCCCGCTGAGCCACAGCCTCAAGGCCCCCCCATCACCTCTCACCTTATCTCCCATCCCTCTCCTCAGCCTCCTTGCTATTCCTCAAACACACCAGGTCCTACCCACCCCAGGGTGCTTGCACTTGCCTCTCCCTTTGCTGGAATGCTCTTCCCCCAGATCTCTGCAAGGCTCACTTTGTCACTAACCTCAGGTGTTTGTTCAAAGATCTCTTCTCAGGGATACGCTTTTCTGGGCACCTTACTTTAAATTGTACCCCCCTCTTGTCCATCCTTTCCCAGATTTACTTTTCTATCACTTCTCTTCACTTGCTAGGGTCTGTAATTTACTTATTTGTTATGTTAATTGTCTCTCCCCGAAGACAGGACTGTTTGCCAGTTTCTCGCACTGCTGTCTCCCTAGCGCATATACCGTGCCCGGGAAAATAAATCTTTGTTTGAAGAATAGAATCTCTCTAGCAAAGCTGCAAGGTAGGCATCTGCTTTCCCATTTCAAAGAGAAGGGAACTGGGGTGCCGGGGTGACTCAGCCAGTTAGGCGTCTGACTCTCGATCTCAGCTCAGATCTTGATCTCAGGGTCATGAGTTCGGGCCCCAGATTGGGCTCCGTGCTGGGCATGAAGCCTACTTAAAGAGAAGGGAACTGAGGCTCAGAGCAGTGACCCCGTAGGGACAAGGCAGACCTGGTTGGAATATCATCAACAGAAGCTACCTACCCTGCCATGTGCCAAGCACTTCACATTCATCATCTCTCTGGGGATGAGGATCCCCATCTCCCCTATCAGGCACCAAGACCCGGAGCAGTGAGGCCTGGGTCTGCAGGGCTGGCCGGACCATAGGCCTGGGGTTCATGGTGCTGGCTGGAACGGGCCCCCTTTGTCTGCAATGAGTCATGCCAGCCCGCCTCCCACCCACACCCCTGCCCCATAGCGGGGCTGCCGGGCGCCAGTGGCGTGTGGAGGACTGTGGGTGAGCTGCTCTTGTCCTCACTTCTCTGGGGCCCAACATATCTATAAACATCAGACGGGACCCAACTGATCTTCACAGAAACCTTCTCCAGAGGCCAGCCGGTGGGATCTTCAGAGATGCAACAGAGGGTTTGCCTGCTCCCAGAGGGTGCCCCCTCATGTGGTGGGAACCTCGTCCTGAACAACAAGGGTGCCCTGAAGCCTATGCTGATCTGGGTACAAATCTGGCTTCAACCTCTCCTCAGCGGTGAGGCCTTAGTAACTCATTTCATGTCCCTGAAACTCAGTTTTTCCCTCTGTTAAATGGGGACATAAATGCTCCGCTCATTTGGTGGTAACAGGAATGAAATGAGATTGATTCCATGATGCGCAGGCGGAGCACGCCGGGAGCACTCGGTACGCGCAGGGCAAGCACTCAGCCCTCAGCCACAGCAGCACAGCACTGTCGTGCCAGCCGTCCATCCCCCAGGGACTGACCCATGGCTCCATCCCTGCATCAGCTCGCTTCCCACCTGCCCACCCATCTGTCCACTGATCCACCCGCCATCCATCCATCCATCCATCCATCCCTCCATCATCCTTCCATCCATCTGCCTCCTCGTTCATCCTTCTACCCAACTGTTTCCTTTCTACACTATTTATAGCATCAACATTTTCCCTCATCTCTCATCTCCAGAGATTTTTCTAGCATCTGACCCCAACCTTCCCAGTACAAACCCTCGCGCTGCCTCCCGCTGCTGACAGAGTCAGACCCCAGCTTCCAACTTAGCTGGGTCTTCACCCTCTACACTGGACCCAGCAGAGTCCTTGGGGCTCATGTGCTGGAAGAGGAGGGCAGCTGCCCACCCTCACCCCTTCCCGCTCCTCTCCAGCAGAGCCTAGACTGGCAACATGGGAGCACAGTGCCCTGCAGGCAACCAGTGAATCACTCATTCAGTCGGGTAATATGTGTCGGGCGCCCCCCGTGTGCCAGTCACTGCCCCACCTGCAGAAACAGAGCAGTCAACAAAACAGACAGCATCCTTGCCCTTGTGCAGCTGGGGCCTAGCGCAGGAGATGGAATAAACAAGCTAAGTGAGGAATCAGAATATCAGGTGTTATGGAGAAAAATAAACCAGGGTGAAGGGGTGGGATGGGGGGGTGCAATTTTTGGTTGGGCCACAAAAGTTTCACTGAGAAAAGACCTGAGGCGGGTGAAGAAGGAGCCATGAGGATATCTGGAGAAACAGTGGTCTGGGCAGCAGCAACAGCATGTACAAAGGCCCTGAGGTAGGACTTAATTAGTGAGTTCCAGGAGAAGCCCATGTAGTTGAGCAGAGAAAGCAAAGGCAAGAGGGATGGAAGCTCATGTCAGGGGGTCATGGGGAGCCTTGAGGCCTTTGGGAGACTTTTGTCTTTCTCTCCTAGAGCGGGGGAGCCATGGAAAGGTTTTGAACAGGGAGGTGACCTGAGCCGACTTAGGTTTCAAAAGGGAGCCAGGAGAGGCCTCTGGAGCAAATAAGTGAGCCTGCCCAGCAAGCCCCATTCGCTCCTCCCCCAAGACCCTGGGGTGGCTGCTGGCTGTAATTGTGGATTAATTCTGGAAGGTGTCTGCTTCCCCAAGCTGACTGAAGGGGCTTAAGGGCAGAGCCTGTTTCTGTCCCATTGTCCCCAGCACACAACATGAGGTCTGGCGCATAGTAGGAGCTGGGGAAACATTTACTGACATCCAGAAGGGAGGGAGGGAGGAAGGGATGACGTGAACAAGAATAAATGAACATAGGAATGAATGAATAAGTGAGTGAGTGAGTGAGTAAATGAGTGAGTGAATAAATGAGGACAGAGGTTGGGGGCTCTGCTCCTCCTCTTCCTCTGCTCCTCCTCTTCCCTGACCTCTGAGGTGCCCACTGCCCACCTATGAAATGGGACAGTGCCCTCAACCCAGGGCTGCAGGCAGTGTGGCCCTTGGCAGCCTCAAGCTGTAGCCCTTGGCTTTCATGGGCCTCTGAGGACAGCACACCCTTCCTCCACCGAGTCCTGTCCTGCTCCTTTCCTGCCACTCCAGCAGCTGCCTCCAAACTCCTGATCCTGGACCAGGGAGGGATGCTGGGATCCAGGGAGCCCACTCCTGCGTCTGAGAAACTGCCGAACACACCCACACCCACACCCACACCCCTCTACTGGCCCTTCCAGCCACTCTCAGTATCCCTGATACTGATCTCAGTATCCCTGAGCCTCTGTAACGGGAGCTCAGCTCCCTGGGGGCCTCATCTTGGCTCCAGCACCAGGGGGGCAATTAGCATGGCTATTTCAGAGATGGGGAGGTGGAGGCCCCTGGGGCCCACTCCCAAGAGCCCTCAGCAATGATTCGGCCTCACAGTCCCATTTCCCACCCCATGTTCCATTCCCAGACATACTTGTGAAGGCAAAATGTCTTTTTTAATTTTCTTACAGTAAAATGGAAACAGTAGTATCTGTTTTGTGTCACTCTCCCTGACCACCTGCCCAGGGCCACTGTTGTTGGGGGCGCAGCCCCAGCGGGAGTCTGATCTCTGGCCAACCGCTTGGAAACCTTCTCTGGGCCTGTGGCGTGCTGCAGATCCTGGTTCCCAGAGCTCGAGCATTTCAGAGTCCCCACGTTTCAGTCCGATGCCCCCCATTGGATAGATGAGTTACCTGAGGCCATGGCAGGGGCTGATTTACCCAAGGATGGACCGGGCCCTGCCTGCTGGCCGGACAGACAAAACACACAGGACAGTCACTGAGGAGAAAACAGTCAAGGCACGCCTCGAAAGATGACATAAGGTTTTCAGATATGAATGGAAGGAGAGCGGGGATCCAGCCAGCAGGAATAGCAAAGGCCAAGGCCTGGAGGCAGAAACCTCCCAGGCCCAATTAGGTGTGAACCGCTGATGGGGGCACAGGGAGGGCCTGCGGAGGGCCAACAGGGCAAGTCTTGGAGGACCACCGAGGCCCGTGGAGCTGGGACTTTCTCAGGACAGCGATGGGGAGCCATGGAGGGAGGCCCAGACAAAGACAGACGTGGACCTGTCCTTCCCAGGGCGCCTGTCTTTCCCTGCCCACAACACCCCAACTCCCTGGGTTGGTACCCCTTTTTCACCTAGCAGGGACAAGGAGGGAGGGCCTGTCAGCCCCTGGATGCTCACCAAAATGTCCCCCCAAGGCCTGAAATTTCTCCATCGGTGGCCCATCAAGGGAGTGAGTGGTGGGGCAGGAGGATCTTCCTGGAACAAGCAGGCGGCCGACTCCTCACAACCAGGAGAAAGAACTTCCATCCCTCCCGCCCCCAGCATCAGCACCCCACACATCTTGCAGCTTTGCAAGTGTTTGTGGCTCTCTCCTCACACTGGCGGGCTCATTATAAAATAATTGAGCACTTGTAACAGTTTTTCTCCTCGAGGATCCCAATTAAGACATCACTTTACGCTCTTCCTCCCTTGAAGACCGTCTTCAGTTCCCCTCCCCTCGCGGGCAGGGCAGGCAGCTGGCTAAAAATACTGCACCAGGCGCTGCTCTCTCCACCGCCTTCCCACCCCTTCTCTCCCCACCGACCCCCGCCACCCACCCCGACTTGGGCCCTGAGGGGACGCAGGATCCCTTGCTGAGCCTCAGTTTCTTCATCCACGAAATGGGAAGAACAATGGCATGCATCTCATCAGGTTCCCGTGAGAAGCCAACAGAGTAATATTGTGAAGTACTTAGCACGGGACAGTCTGTGTCACAGGGGCCCCCCCCCCTTGCTTTGAGGGACACTGGGTGATGCTGCCTTTTAGCAGCTGGCTCTTTTTATGGCCGCCAAGACATCTGGGGCAGGGGTCGGGTGGCAGGAGCAGGATCATTTTGGGGGCAGCTCAGCTCAGACTGTCAAAGCTGGAGCACCCTGGGGGGGGCGGGACCTGGGGGGCCGAGGCTGCACGAGAGGGATCAGGTCCCCGAGAGCTTCCTGCCAGCTTCGAATGCCAAGATTCTCTGAGGTTCCTAATTCTAGTTCTAATTAGGAGAGTCTAATTCTAAGATTCATGAGGCTTCTAATTCCTGGTGACTCAGACTGCAAGCAGATCCGCGTCCGTCCCTCCCCTCACTGTCCCCGCCCGCCCCATGCCCGTGGCCGGGCCGGCTGGAGGGCAGTCATAGCTCACCGGGACGCGGGCCTTCCCGCCGCCCTTTGCGCCTGCACACAGCCATGGGACCCCCTGGAACGGGAGCCGGATCACGTCCCTCCCTGCTCTGGATCCTCCAACAGCTGTCCTTTGCATACCAAGAAGAATCCAAACTGCTGGGGTCCCCTTACTGCCTCCCTTTGCGTTCCCACCTCTCTCCTCCAGCCCCACTGGCTTCCTCTTCCTCCTCACAGGACCTTTGCATGTGCTGCTCCTGATGCCTAGAACATTCTTCCCGTTCCTCTCCACTTACCCGGCTCCTTCTCACCATCCAGGCCCCAGCTCCAAGGCCCCTTCCTCGGGGAGGCCCCCCCAGATCCTCAGACTCCAGCGGCCACTCCAACCTTGTCTCACGTGACGCCATGTTCTGTCTCCCCCGTGGCCCTTTCCTTCTGGGAACTGGTCCCGTTTGTTCCTTCACGCGCTCATTTTCCATCTCCTCCACTGGAATGTTTGTCTCTCTCGCGGCTGTGTCTCAGGGCCTGGCATTCACCGAGTGCTCAATCGATATTTGTTGGGGAGAGAATGAATTCTGTAATTAGGAGATTCTAAGTCTTTGCCCTCCCGCCCAAGCTCTGATGTTTTGTAAGGTCAATAGACATTTGTTGATTGACTAACTGACCTCACACCCTCCTCCTGGGTAAAAGTCACTTCATGTATGCCGGACGGGAGAAAGCAGGACAAAGCACACAGCTCCTATTTGGCAAAGGGCAGAGGGGATTTTGTGCTAAGTGGCGGGCCCAGTGGCCCACACCTCTCACCGGCCATCACCCCCTACTCAGGGGATCCAGCCGCCAACTTACACCTGCCAGGCCCTCCCTTGCCTTTGACTCCCATGGCTCTGCAAGGGCCAGCCACAATCTTGCACAGGCTGACCAGGCCTTGACCGTGAATTGGGCCTCTGAGACCCATTGGAGTTAGGTACCAGAAGCTCTGCCAGGAAGCACCAGGCAGGTTCCGAGGCTAGGGTGGGGGGCTTGGGGGGGCGGGGAGATGGAGCTAATGGCCTGCTAATGGTCTCATGGCTGGAACCTGGTGACCCCTGGTTCCCTAGGGGCTATTAACAGGGCTAATGGGGCTGAGGTGCTCCTTCCCGCAGCAGTCCCCCCCCATCCCCCCCCACCGTCCAAGGTCATCAGGGCCATTAAGTGGATAAGTGGCAGGGAGGAAAGGGAAAAGTAAGCACCCTTCCTCCACCCTGGCACTCCGACAGCTTAGGGAGCCTAGAAACCGGCTTAGAAGGTGGGGGAAGGACATCGCAGGTGGGCAGACTGAGGCCCAGTACATGAATCTGTTCCCATTCATCCCCCCTTACTTCAGCCCCCATGATCACGGTTCACCTCTCTCCTTTGGGCTGCAGAACCCCAGTCACAGACCCTCGGAAACAGCTTCCAATCCAAGGCAGAGAGAGACGGCTGGGGACAACTCATCCACTTACCCATTGGGTAGGCACAAGCTTCGTCAAGTGTCCCCAAGCTTCTAGGATCAATGGCGGGAGCAGTGAGTGGAGAGACGAGATAGGCTGGCAGGACCTTGAAGCTCGCTGAGTTTGAAGTTTGGGTTCGATCTGTCATTTGTGCTGGGAATTGGAGTCAGTTGCTAGGAAAGTCTCTGGAGACAAGAGATGAATGCAGAGACTGATGCAGGAAGTGATGAAGAAAAAAAACAGACATGTGGACAGATGGACGGAGGACTGGAGGTTAGATGTGGTGAGCAGGTGGATCAAGAGGGCTGGCTGGCTGAGTGGATGGGTGGGTGGATGGGTAGATGGGTGGGTGGGTGGTGGGTGGGTGGGTGAGTGGGCAGGTGGTTGGATGGATGCGTGGGTGAGTGGGTTCATGGGTGGGTGGCTGGCTGAGTGGATGGGTGGTTGGGTGGGTGGGTGGGTGAGTGGATTAGTGGATGGTTGGGTGGGTAGACAGATCAACAGAGAGGTGGATAGGCGAGCAGGTGGACTTGGATGGCTAGAGGCACAAGTGGATATCCACAAGTGGTGAGTGGATAATAAACAGATTAATAATCATCTTTATAGCAATGCAGTCAGAATAAAATTTTTATTATTTTTCATGGAGGAAAAAGCTGATGGAGGCAAAGGTACCCTTGGTGCTTGAAAGTCACAACGTGGCCCTAGGGAAGGCCTGATGACCGGCTTGGGGCCCTGTTTTCCCACTCTCCTCCCTCCAGCCTGGCTCAGCCTCTAGGAGGTCTTGCTTTCCCCACCTCCAGGTCCAAGCTCAGGCTGTTTCTTCTGCCAGGGATACTCCAGAACCCACACTGCCCACATCCTCCTCCTCCAGGAGGTCCTTCAGGGCTGGCTTTGGGCCTCATCTGGACTCCTGCAGGCCTTTGGTCTTGTGTTTGAGACAGTCTTCACCCAGACGTGCACCCTGGGCACCATCATCTCTCCACACGGACTGGAGCCCTAGGGACCTGAGGAAACAGCCCCGGTCACCCTGATGTTTCCCAGACCTTGACCACGTGCCAGGTCCCCCATTATGACCTCTTATAATCTGGGGGAGGAAGACATTGACACCGTCCCCACTTTCCCAATGAGGAGACTGAGGCACAGCCAGATGACCAGCTCCAGCTCAGGAAGTGGCTAGACCCTTACCCAGCATCTGGATCCCTGCTCAGAGGGAGTAGGCCTGAGGCCGTGGGGAGGAAGAGGGGCAGAGGGGAAGGCTCTTCAAGACAGAGCCCAGGGACAGTAAGAAAAGAGTAAGAGAAAGAAAAATGCAGCTTCTACAGTCACATCTGCTCTGTCCCTTCCTCACTCTGTGACATTGGAGAACTTGCTTAACCTCTCTGAGCCTCAAGTTGTTCACCTGGAGAATAATGCCCAGAGAGCCAGGGGGATCATGATTAATGGATGTCTGGGGGCTCCTGGGAACACTCATAATTGTCACCACCATGTCCCCCAGGTTGGCTTCTTGGCTCCTCCCAAACCTGGGCAGCAGAGTTGGTGGGAGGATCCAAGGTGGACCCGACTTGGTGTCAGTCTCGGCTGCAGCACTCAGGGGGCCCGCGACCTCGGGCAGGCAGAGGGACCTGCCTGGGTAGGGGCCTGGAGGCGGGACCCATTTGTAGTGAGTGTCGGGGTGGGGGTGGGGAAAGGGTCCGGGGTGGGGACTGTGGAGAGATGGGCCAGCTGGGGCCAGGGGAAGGCCTTGATTGTCATGCCAAATGGTACGGCCTTCATTCAGGGGGACGGGGAGCCATGAAGGGTGCAGGCAGGGCAGAACGCCACCAGTCCTTCGCCAAATGCAGACCCAGTGGGGTTCAGCAGGCAACTCATTGGAGGTGCTGGAGGCAAGGCAGGAAGGCAGGGGGACTGGCATTCATTCCTTCATTCCGGTGTCGAGCACCCACTGTGTGCCAGGCCCTGTCCTCGGCACTGGAGACAAAAGTCCCTGGCCTTGTGGACCTGATGCTCTAGTGCAGGAACAGACCACAACGATGGAAACGAGCAGACCTCGGGGCAATGGTTTTAGCCACGGCAAGGGCTGTGCGGAGACAGGGTGGCGGATGGACAGCAATGGCAGCCGCTCGTCTCCCTCCCGTCTGGGACTGTCTGTCCTGCACATTCCGTCTCGACAGAATCGCACGCTACATGAGCTTCTGCGTCTGGCTGGGTTTGCCTAGCATCACGTCTTCGAGATCCATCCACGTAGCAGTGTGTCTCAGGCCTTCCTTCCTTTCCGTGGCTGAGCAATAGTCCATCGTGTGGCTCGACTCCTTTGTGTAGCCACGCCTGCGCCGATGGCCATTAGGGTGGCTTACGCCTCCTGGGGACAATTACCAGCGCCGCGTGAGCGTGTGGGCCTCTGTACGCCGAGGATGCGCTTGCTGGGTCACAGAGGAACTCCATGTTTACCCGCCAAGCTCTCTCCCATAGGACGGCTGCAAGGACAGTCTGATTCATGCTTTAAACAATCTCCTGGTTGCCGTGAGAAGAGGCGGTGAGTCCGGCCACCGTGGCCCCGGGGCGGTGGGCGTGGGGCCGGGGGCAGTTACCGCTCAGGTCCCGTGCAGGTGGCCACATTTGGCAGCTAGAACCGCAGCAGAATGTTCACTGAGGGGCTGGGTGTGCGGCTGAGGAAATTCAGGAACTGCCGCTTCATGGTTTGAAAATGCCAGGAGTGGGCCCACCTCAGGGCCTTTGCTCTTACTGTTCCTTCTGCCAGGAACGCTCTTCTCCACATGGGTTCTTGTTTAATCCTTCACTTGTGGCCAGGTTGGCTCAGCTACTGACTTCTCCCAGAGGCCTTCCTGGACCACCGGATTTAACATTGCAGTCCCTGCCCGCTGCCCCCCGACCCTGACCCTGGCAGGATGGGCCCCTCTCCCCTGCCTTAGTTTTCCAAGGCGCCATTGCCAACTGATATGTATCAATCCCGACTGGAACGTCAACTCCACAGGGCAGAACCATCGTTTTGTCACCACTGAGTCCCTTGCGTGGGGACTGGCACGGAAGTCAGTGCCCAGTAAGTGCCATAGAATAGAAAAGACTGACAGGGAATGGGTTTAGGGGCCAAAAGTCAGGGAGTGGGGAACTGACAATTGTTCATTCATCCAATTCATTCATTCAACAATGTTTATTCAGCACCTCCTATGTGCCGGCCACTGTTTTGGGCACCAGGGGGTGAGCAGGTCAGACAAGGTTCTTTCCTCCTGGAGGCAACATTCTAACAGGGAAGCCCAGGGATAAGCCTGCCAGTGCATCCGTGAAAACCAGGACGACTCAGGCAGTGCTCAGGGCCCGGAGGAAAAGAAGCAGGACATAGGGTCCTGACACTAGGCACCAGCCGGGCCCTGCACCGTCACCCACACGAGCTGCGAGAACATGCTCCTTTCACAGATGGGAAGATGGATGCGTCAACGGGGGAAGCCCCTTGCTTAGAGCCTCCCAGCTTTCCGGGCAGAGCCTAGGCATCGGTGCGGACCCCTTACCCCCCAGCCTGGCCCCAGTGACCCCTCACTCTTTCCTGGTCAGTGGGAATGGTGGAGAGCATGACCTCGTCCATCAGCTGCTCCCAGGCAGGAGGGTCGATCAGCTCACACACGTGCACGGCCTGTGGGCTCCTCTCTCCAGAGGACACCCAGCTTTCTCAACAGCCCCGGCGACACCTCCTTCGATCCCTGCTGCCCAAAGAGGGTGGGCCTGCTTGCAGGCCCGCAGGGAGGATGGTTCGGGCAGGAGGCATAGCCCAGGTCCCAGGACTGGGAGGGAGGCCTAGCAGCCCCTCCCCCAGCTTGGTCTCTTGTCTGTTTGGCCCTCAGGCCACCACCTCACTATCTGAGGCTCAGTTTGCTCATCTGCAAATGTGGTGATGCGGCTGAGCTGCAGAGGGTTTGGGTCACGAGGTTGGGCAGCCCCTGAAGGGCCCAGAGTGGACTTTGGAGTCTCCTGGCCCTGGCCCCAAGCAGCCCAGTTGGAAGACTTTGGGCCAGGTCCTGGCCTCGGTGCTCACATCTGGCAAATGGGGATAATAACTTGCCCTGCCTGGGATTGCTGGGAAGGGGGGTGGTTGGAGATCGCCCTAGACCATAACACGGGTGCCTCCAGTGGGAGCGGAGGCTTGTGACGGGTCATGGGTAGGGAGGGAGCAGGTGGAGGGAGGGACCGCCATTCACAAGCGTCTAGACAGACTCCTCTTCTTCTCAGACCTCACTGGCACAAGGCTAGTTGTGACCAAAAGGCTTAGAACAGAGCTTGGCCCGGAAACATGTGATTTGTCTCCTTTGTGGTAGTGGGCTCCCCAGCGGCAAAGGTGTGCAAGCAGGAACAGCCCACTGGGGGCCCCAAAGGGGTCCAAGCACCCCATGGGGCAGGATTTGGCCCTTCCACATCCAGTCCCAGAGGTGGGTCTAGGGGATCAGACAATACCTGCAAATCCAAGAGGATGTCCACAGAAGGTGGCGGGGCCCAGGCTGTTCTAGTGACGGGATAGACACCAGGTCGCTGGCCAAGGCAGTTCCGGCACCAGGTGGGCAGGAACCAGAGAAGAGGAGGTGGGGTGGGGGCTGAGGCTTCCAGCCAGGACAGGGCAAGAAACACGAGCCTTCCCGAGCAGGGCAGGACCCTGGCACATGGAACCTGGCAGAGGGACACAGGTGCCCCGCACGGCCCTTCACACCGCTCAGTTCCCCAGCTCCACCGTAAAGAGGAAGACACAGGTTTAGAGGCTGCCCAGTGGCTACCAGGCGGCAGAGCCAAAACAAAGAGCCAACCTTGACTCCAGCTCCTACCCCTGGCTGGCGGGCTGCCTCATGACCTTCTGGAGCAGGAGGTGTGTGTGTCGGGGGGGAACAGGACCGCTCCTTTCTGCCCGCCCCCCAGCCCTGAGCGCCCGGCCAGAGGCAGGGCAGCACCAGAGCCACGTTGGTACATAGAATGAGACAGGGTGCAGGAAGCAGAGGGGGCTTTGATGGGAGGCGTGGAAGCAGGGGCATCCCCGGGGGTCCTTCCCCAAAGCCCTTTAGAGAGGGTTTCCATGGCTGGAGCAGAGAGCAAGTTGCACCCCCATTGTCCCATGCACACCCTGGGTCTCTTCCAAGGATCTGGGACTGAAGGCAGGAAGGAGCCCCCTCGGTACTCGGCATGGCCCTCGGAACCTAGCAGCTTTGGTGCTACTCACCCAAACGAAACTGGGACCTATCCTCGTAGAACAAGTTCAGAGGTCATGGAGTCCAGTCCCCGGCCTGCTCCCGCCACCGCCGAGCCAGCAGGACCACGGGGACCGGTGTAGGGCAGACCCTGCCTGCTTGCTGCCTGGGATCACACAGGTGTGCAAGTGGGGGCCTGGTGACAAGACCCCCCTGATGTGGCCCCAAGCCCTGGGGCCACCTCACCCTCCCTGCTGGCCATCCACTCAGCTCTAGCCGCACCGGAATCCTGGAGCACCCCGACGAGACCCAGCTCCCAGATCAACGAGCCATGTCAGAGATGCTGCCATCTCACGAAGACCCTGCCCGGAGAGAGCTCACCGTGGAGCCCCACAGCTCGAGCCTCTGAGACGCGGGGATGGGATGCGCCCAGGCCTCGCGCACCGTCAGCACCCAGCCACCCTGGGAGGCTGGGGGAACCCTGCTTTGGGAAGCCAACCGGCCCCAGCCGTACGGCGGCCCTACGGACTTGTGCTGCTCTGCCCCTCATTTCTGCCCACGCGGTGGGCTCCACGTGGCACCGCATTGGTCTCCTGCTTTCTCCGGCGTCCCTCACCCCCAGGCGTGGCGGCTGCGGTGCCCTGGTCTGGGGGCAGGAGCCCTCGGGGGCTTGTCCACCGCTCCGGCTCATCGCTGAGACCCCGTGGAGTTGTGCTGTGGATTAGTACGTGCTCCTTCCCTTTGCCTTCTCCCGACCCCGAGGGTGCCATGCCCTGGGACTCCGGGTGGCCTTCCCCTCTGAACCTGGGCCTCCTGCTGGGTCCTCCGAGGGAGCTCTGCCAGGATCCCTGAGGTTCTGGGATTTCGGGGCCCCTCCCCATCCCTGCGGGGGTCCGCACTGTGCTGATTATGGTGAGCCGAGAGGGAGGGGGAGGCAGTTCTCAGGCCCAGCAGTGCCCTGGGGCTGCCCCCCGCCGTGGCCCTAGTGGCTGACAAGGGTCTGGCACAGACGAGGCCATCGGGGTGCTTGTGGAGTAAATGAGGGCTGGCACAGGAGTTGGGCTCACTGGGGGCCCAGAAGCCCATTTCCCTGAAGCAGGTTGGCAGCTGCAAAGAGGCTGGGAGGACTGATGACAGATGAAAAGAGGCCCAGCTTTGACTTGCTCTCCATTCACCCCTACCTGGTGCCCACGGTCCTCCACGCCCCTTCTGTCAGATGGGAAGAATAATCTTCCCCACCTCCTCAGTGTGGGAGTCTGATAGAGGCCTTGCCCCTCTCTGAACTTCAGTTGACCCAAATGCCCACCCAGAATGGACCTGTGGCTTCTGGGCTGTCATTCGGAGCCTGGACAAGGGCCCCCCAACCCAGGCAGGGAGAGGGGCCTGGATGATGGGGGAGGCGAGGCCAAGCCCAAGCCCAAAATAGCCTGGGATGGCAGGATGATGGAGGCGGTGCCGGGCCGGGTGGCAGGAGCCGGTAATTGATGGCTCTGCGCGGGCCATGAATAAAACATCAGGCTCCGCTCCATTCTGGGTTCATTATTTGCTAAGGGGGACAGGCCTCATTTCTTAGGGTCACCCCTGCTGGCCTCCTCCCTGGGTCCTCCTTTCTCCCTCTCCTGCCTTGGCTCCCCAGTGCCCCGAGGACAAACTGAGGCTCTCCATGAGATGGCCTATCTTTATCCCCCACCGCCGCCGCTGCCACCAACGACCCTCACGGCCCCCGGCGCCCCCCTCCCCCCGGCGGCCACCCCTCCCGGCCTGCGCCTGCGCCCTTTCACGGCCTGGGCGCCTTTCCCGGGCTTTCCTGCCCAAGGAATCCTTCACACACCGTCATGCCCTGCTACAGTAAATCTTTCACCAAGTCTTGTCTGTCCTTGACATGTGCCCTGGACATGCGGGACCCTTACCCACCGCCAGCGTGGACAGTGCTGTCCTACCTGTGTGAAATGCAAGCAACCTGGAGGTGCCATTTCGATCAGAGTGGCAAAGACCTCAGCGTGGCACAGGGCCATGGGAGCAGATTTATCCTGGCTAGACGGCCGCCATGGAGGGCCGTTTAGGCAAGCTTGCCGAAATCACTGGCCCCGGGCCCACTAAAGACTCAGGAGCTCACGGGTCTCCTCCCACGTGTGTGAAGCAACACCCGAGCAAGGCTGCTTACAACGGGCTCTTTGCAAGAGCGCAGGGCCAGACACGGGGATGCCCAGCTCGGGCCACTGATAGCCTCGGTATCAGCCACATTCGACCAGAGAATGTGAGAGAGCAGAGAAGAACGAGGTGGCTTGATTGTTCCTGACGTGAGACACGTCTAAGATCGATCGCGAGGTACAGAGCAGCGCTCACATGGGCTACAATTCCTGTAAAAAATAAGACCGCCAGAAAGATTTCATATCAATGCTGTGTGTGTGGAAGACTCCGGAAAGGTACACAAGAAATCCAGTGGTTGCCTCGAGAGAGGAGAAGTGAGAGGCTGGGGGACAGAGAAGGGCAGGTGACGTCCACGCTACACCCTAATGCCCTGTGCACCGTGTGTTCAGGACAAATTCCACATAAACATGACACCTGCGGACCCATTGACCGGGACGTTTACGACCGTGCCCGCAGCCTCTGGAAGTAATCGGGACACGCCGAAGTTCTCAGGGCTGCGGCAGCCGCATTGTTGTCATGGCTGAGCGGTGCGAAGGGCCCGAGGCCCAGCGGGAAGGGCCGGTGTCCCGCACACGGCGGGCAGAGCGCGGAGGGCACCCTGCAGCCGGCGATCGGGCAGGCAAACGGCAGGTGGCACACGGGAATAATAACGCGTGTTTAACACAAGCAGAAATATCTGGAGGGCGACGTCCGGACAGTAGCGAGGCTTATTCCAGGTTTTTGGCCTCTTCTCTTTGCTTTCTCCTTGTTTTTGAGACCGTATAATGCTGGTGGAGTAAAGGGACCTGCCCTAGGCTCCCTGCTCCGCCCAGGCTGAGGCAGGGACCCCATGCACACCTGAGCTTACCCTGCCACAACCTGGGTTTCCTGGGCGTGTGCTGAGCAATAACTATGAGCTGTCCTGCGTGTGCCCCCCATGCGTGTCCTCCCTGCTGGCTCCCCCAGAACAAGGCCAAATCTGATCATCGCTACCCCTGCCACGGGGCTGGGCATCAAGCAAGAACACAGCTCAGGACAACTACCAGCCCATCCTTCCGGCTGCCATCTCTGGAGCCTGCCTGGGAGTTGGACTCCCAGTTGACTACTCCCATTAGCTGCCCCCTCTCTGGGTGCAGAGACAGGGGGATCCCCTCCAGCCCCCACAGCAACTGAACTGGCTCCCTGACCCAGGCTGACAATGACCCATCATGCTTCCTAGCCTCACCGAGACCCACACTGAGAAATCCAGGAGGGAAAGAACCCGCGCTCATGAGGAGCTTTGAATGGCTAGTCACCCCCACACACTGCACTGTACCCCCTCCTTCCACAGGCAGGGCCCCACCCGGCGCCCTCTGAGGCCTGGGCCCAGCATGAGCCAGCAGGGCCTCATGGGCTGGACATCCCACCTGCTGCTTGCTTACTGCCATGTGACCTGGGACCAGGGCTGCTGTGACCACGGGCAGAACGGGCACTTTCCGTTTGAGCCCCAGATCCCGAGCTTCTGGGGAGAGAAGAGAAATGGGAAGGAGCCAGGGCCTAGGAGGCATCTGGGGACCGTTCGCAGTGAAGGCAGCTTCTCTGTGACCATGGTCAAGTGGCTCAGTTTCTCCAAGTAGACTTTCTCCGAGTGTGTAACAGGACCCCACGAGCTCACCAGGCCTTTTTGAGATCCCTGGAGCTGCCTGTGTGAGAAGACCCTGCCAGATTCAACCAAGGGCCGAGATGCACAGTCGAGGCCAGAAAACAGGCCCTCTGAGCATCCCCACACACCTGGCCCTGAGAACAGGCTGGGTTTAAGGAATAAGTCAGGCCTGAGAGGTACAAAGTTCTGAGTCTATAGGAACAAGAATGAAAAGGAGTCCTGAGTCTGAGGCCCGGGGGCCCTCACGTCTGTTACGGAGGCTGGGGGTGGGGGGGGAGGGGGCAGAAGGTCAAGGTAGGCCCTGGTGTCTCGATCAGTCCTGTCTGACCCTGACACTGGAGGGTCAGGGGTCTCCCACCCAGCCTCCTTTGTTGCTAGGGGAGCACACGCTCCTATCCCAGACACTGGGCCCCCAGATGTCTGCTGGGGCTGTGGAAAAGGGAGCCCCCTCTTCTTAGGCAGGATGCGCCTTGCAGACAAGAAGTGGACTCACTCCTCAGTACTCACGAGTGCCTGCCAGGGCCCCTGGGTCAGGCACTGCGGTGAGCAAGGGGCCCGGTCCCTGCCACTTGGCACTGGGTAGGGATGCAGGTGTGTGATCACATTTGGTGATCAGAACACCAGCTGGAAAGCCCCTGAATGGGAGCCCCTAAAGCACCCTGCAGGGTTGGGAGGGCCTCCCTGAGGAGGTGACAGATAGCAGAAATCCGAAGCCTGAGTCGCAGTTGGGAGAGGGGTGTTCCAAGCTGGGGGGAGAGCAAGGGCAAAAGCCTGTTGCTGGAAAGAGCTCGGGGTGTTCAAGGAGGAGAGAAGGGTACGGTGGAGTAAGGGGGAGGGAGTTCGGGCTGGGTGGTGGCAGAGGTCTGTGGGAGAAGGGCCCTTCCTCTCTGGAACAGGGACGAACCCTTTCCAGCAGGTGGGTGGAAAGGCGGTGGAGCCTCAGGCCCTTGTCCCTGCCCTGTCACTATCATGCTGTGGAACCTGCTCGTGCCCATGCCTGGTCCTCAGCTGCCTGGGGCAGGGGCTGGAAGGAGGAGCTTGAGCCCATCTGGTCCCTGCTCAGTTCTCTGGCTGTCTCTGTTCCAAACCAAAGGCTCCGGCTAAACATGGGCCACATGGGGGTCTCTGCCTGTGTGTTAGGGGCCAGATGGTGGTGGGCAAATCCCCAGCAAACCTGGGATGGAAGCCTGGCCCTCACCCCTCCAAACGTGCGCAAAGCCCTGCTTCTCTCGTTCGTTCATTCATTCATTCATCTTCGAAGAAAGTCTGTGTCAGCACATCCTCCAAGCCCAGGTGTGCAAGCGATCCACTGCCACCATGTAGTAGCCGTGCGGCCCCTGGCAAACGGCGCAGCCGCCTCGTGCCTCAGTTTACCTACCTATTAAAACACGGTGAGGGCTTATAGAGGGCCCGACTTAAGGGATAACTGTGACATGGACATGATTAGGATGTGTAACAGTTGCTCTGTGTCATTTCTGGACGCTGCCAACCCAGGAAGGAAGCGAACCATCCTCATCCTCGCGATGCTTACAATTCTGAAAGAGAGGAAAGAGTCTCAGAGCCAGACCATTGTGAAGCCAGGGTGTGGGCCAGGTGAAGCCGGCAGGATGAATCCAGGACACAGAAGGCCCTCCAGGTCTCCCTGGGTGGGTGGAAAGGCAGTGGAGCCTCAGGCCCTTCTCCCAGAGAAATTGCTTCTAGGGAACTGAATCCGTGGGTGACAAAGGCTCCGAGAAGCCGAGCAGGGCCTGGGACAAACCCCAGCTATGTGCAAAGCAGGAAGCTGTCTGCTCCAAGGCTGGAGGCAAGAGGAAAGGGATGAGAGATAAAGGAAGCAATTCTAGGGCACATTCACGCAGCAGGGGCTGGAGCCACAGGAGAGATGCCACTGACAGATATGTGGACAGAGAGACAGGGCAGAAAGCATCCCCTACCCACCCTTGAAGTGCCAGTGGGCAACGGTAGGGGGCCCTGAGCCCCAGACCCCCGACACATAACAGGTGCTCAAAGATAAGGGCCGAACCATGAAGGGGAGATAAAGGCCAGGTAGGAAAGGACGAAGGAAGGGGAGCAGGCGGAACGCGCTGGATCCCAGATCCTGGGGCCCTGAATGCCAGGTTGAGTTTGGCTTCAACCCAAAGGCTGCCGTGTCCCCAAATCTTCTCTTTCTGACCCTAAATGAAAATGAATAAGATTTTTAGCCCTAAAGCATCATGGTCCCTGACTGCACCCCTGTCGATCCTGAGCTACATAGGTCCGTGTTTGTTTATTCCATTTTCCAGACAAGGAAACTGAGGCCCAGAGAAGTACAGTAGCTCAAGAGGGTGACAAGGTGACCTGCCCAAGATCTTATGGTTAGGGGCAGCACAGGCACAGGAAGGGGCAAGTGGAGCCCCCTGCGTGCTTACCCGAGGCAGAAAAATCACCCTGAACTGCCAGGAACTGGAGACCGCAACGGAAATGACATTGGGTAAACTTTCAGTTCTGCCTCGTTTGGTGACAACAGGGCTTCAACATTCCAACTACCGATTTCCCCCCGTGGAATATAGAGAAGCAAGACCTGTGACGGCGCCCAAACCAGCATCCCCCAGTGCTTGCAGGGGACCCTTGCAGGGAGGCGGAGGGGGGAGGGCGCAAATGCAAATCCCATGGACTCTGGTGGGTGGGAGAGCGCATGAGGAGAAAGCAGGTGAGGAGACCGGACAGTCAAAGCTGGATGCGGTTGGGACCCAGATTTCCAAAACGAGGGCTCCGGCTTGTCAGAGCTTTCATCTCTTAGGGGAGGCTGAGGATCTGCAGTTTTGGTGGGGAAAAGAAATCTCAGATTTTAAAATGGCCACTAAATCGAAATGTTAAAGCCATCACGAGAGCTAAGTCTCCGAAGGCCCGACGGAATGTGTCTTTCGGCTGTACCAAGACTGTGATCTCTGCCAGTTCTTGGGCAACCTCCTCCAACATGCCAAGCATGTGCCAACCTCTGGGCCTTCGGAAGAGGGAAGTCTTCTGGTGTCTCCGTTCAGATGTTATCTTCTCCGAGTGGCCTTCCCTGACTTTTCTCATCCCATTTCTTTGCATTGTTTTTCTTCCCAGCGCTTACCTCCACCTGGCATTTTAGGCTTGTCTCTTTCCCTAATGAGAACATCTGCTCCATGAGGTCAGGGCCCCTGTCTCAGACATACCCTGGATGCGGAAGGGCTAGCTAGCACAGGGGTGACACTCAGTGACCGTTTGTCACATGGGTCGTTCATCTCCTCCCCCGGAATCCGGAGGCGCTCACGGGGGACGAACACAGCAGCTGGTGCTCGTGGCCAACAGGACGCCAACGATCCAGGACTCAGCAACATGGCAGCCCTGGGCCCACAGCCTACTCAAAGGAGGCCAACTAATGCCTGAAACAGGAGCCACACGAGCTGGTTCCCAACCCACCCCACCCCCACAGTCTGGGTGGGTAACTTTGGAAAAGCCCGACCCCACTGGAGGCCTCAGTTCCCTGAGCTGCACGGTGACGGAGCGGCAAATAGCCCCAACTTGGGGGGTGCTCATGGAATCCCAAGATGGCCACCATGAGCAGCTGCCTCCGCCAGGCCAGAGGGACAGATCCTGTGATGGGTTCAGTGTTTATGGAGTGTCCACAGCTGCTCAGAAGGGGACGGGAGGGCCAGGGAGAGCAGCCAGGGCCCCTGGAGGAGGGAACATAAAGCCACCGTCCCCAACTGGTGCCAAAGCCCGCGGCAGGAGGGCCATGCTCACTCCGCCCTTGCCGCCTTGGGCCTTCAGAGGGTCTCGAGCGAGCCTGAGGCTGCCAGGCAGGGGCTGGAGGTTGCCACCTCTCTTTGGGAGAGGAGGAACATAGCAAAGATGCCACCGAAACGCACATCCCGAGGAGGCCGTCTGAGAGTTTTGTTCCAGTTTTAGTAGAGGTGATGCTGAAGTGAGAACCGTCTGGGAGTTTCGATTGCATCCCTGACGCTGAGCAACTGGGGGCGGCAGGGGTGGGTCCCTGGCACGTGTCAGCCCATCCAAGCCGGACGTTTCTTGGACGCCTCCAACCGAGGATGAAAAATTCGTGTGAGGTTGGCATTGCGCTGCCGAAGCCAGTCGGGGTTTGTCTGCACATGACAGTGTCCCGTCCTGCCTCAGATCTTCGAGGGAAGCCGACGCCCCAAGAAGATGGGATGTGAGCGTCCTGTGGCTTGGTTGTCTCCAGGAGTCAAGTGCCCGTATGCAGTGACACGTCTAACAGTGAGAACCAGGACCAGGGGACCCACTGGCCTGGGGTCGGATCTCAGCCCGTCTCCTTCTTGCTGGCCCCTTTCTTCGGGGGGCCATGAGTTTCCCGTCTGTGACCTGGTCCCTCAGAGCCCCCGGTGATACGGGACGGAAGGATCGAAGCGCATGCTTGATGGGAGACACAGCAGTGGTTCGTGACCACGGGGAAGCCGCATCCCCGGGCAGGTCAGCCAGGGCAGCCGAGGGGAGACTAGCGCTTCCAGCTGAGCTGAGCACAGGCACTGCTCATGAGGATGACTGTCAAAGCCTCAGCCAACGTGTCCGTGAAACACGAGGACTACGACCCGGTCGCTCCCCTCTGAGGTCTCTGCTCCAGAAAACCGAAAGCCATGTTCACGCAAGGCTGGTACGTGAATGTTGCTAACGGCACGATTCACAACGGCCAAACGGTGGAAACGACCCAAATGTCCATCAACAGACGAACGGAGAAACAAAATGCAAATGAATGCTCCACACCCGGGAATATTACGTGGCCATAAAAAAGAATAAATTTCTGACACCAGCAGCCACGCGGCTGGACCTTAGGGACGTTATGCGGAGCGAAATAAGGCAGACGGACCGTATGACCCCACTTGTATGAAATGCGCAGAAGAGGCAGATTCGCAGAGGCAGAAAGCAGGCTCAAGGTTGCCAGGGGCAGAGGGGAGGGGGCTGGGGAGGACCTGCTAATGGGTACGAGGTGTTCTCTCGGGGTGAGGAGAGTGTTCTGGAACTAAGCAGTGGACATGTTTGCACAACACTGGAAATATATTCAGTGCCACTGAACAGCAAGTTTTAAACTGGATAGTTGGATGTTAGATTACTTTCATCTCAATAAAAGGGTGTGGGGGTGTGGGACCACCAGGGACACAGCAGGACCGTAGCAGGACCAGCAGCTGACATCGTGAGCATACCGCCCAGCTGCACATGGCTCCCCAGGCCCCTGATGGCTGTGTGACCTTGGGTCCATCCCTTCACCTCTCTGAACCCGTGTTTCTGCATCCACAGGGTGGGGAGGAGAACAGTGTCCGCTGGAAGGGTGCTGGGAGGAGGAGTGGGTGAACGTGTGCAAGTGTCAGAAGCACACGTGCCCTGCCCAAAGCACCGTGCGTTATCCTTCTTCCCTTGAACAACCAGAGCCGCCACCAGTGGGGGCCATGGCGTCTGCAAGGGGTCTAAGTGACAAGCCTGGCTGCCCAGAGTGGGTGAGGCTGGGGGCTGTCCCCGGCCCTGTCAGGGGCCACACAGCCCCTCCCAGGGAGCTGAGCCAGAGCGGACACCTCTCTGTGTCCTCGGTCAGCTCACGTCTCCTTCCCTGAGCCTCGCTCACCCATCTGGGAGGGGGGATGGACATCAGTGTTCTATGAAGCTTCTAGCCCTGGAAACTTCTGCTCCTGGAATCTCCAGGGGAAGGCGATAATCAACGTGGAGAGAGACCGGGAGGTAAAGGTGTGGCCCCTGGTCCCCCCTGCCCAGGGTTCCAGTTCCAGCCCTGCGGCTCCCCGGCTGTGGGATTAGCCTCCCCTCAGATGCAGAGGGAGGCAGGGTCCTGCACTGGGTCCGAGGCAGTGACGAAGGGACAGGTGAGGGTTTGGGTCCCCGCTCCGCCACTTCCCAGCCCTCCACCCCTCTGCCCATGGTTGCCTCAGCCAGCCGGCCTCTCTGTGCCTCAGTCTCCCCATCTATAAAATTCAAATGATCATCGCAAGTCCTTTGTGAGCTGTTGTGAGGATGGAATGAGTCCATTAGAGCAGTGCCAGGCCCTACAGGTGTAGATTCTTGCTGGGTCTGCTTCTTACAACAACCCGTTCTTCAGGTGAGGAAACTGAAGGGTCATGCGTGGGGCTGGCTGGAATGTGGAAGGGGGCGAGGGTTGATAGCGCAGAGTGTGCTAAGCTCGGGGCCCCCCAGGAGTGGAAACTCAGGCCAGCAGGGCAAGGAAGGAAAGGGGCTGAGGGAGAAAGCCGGGGAGGGAGCTGCCCTCCCACCACACAGGAAGCCGGGAGAGGGCAGTGGGGAGGGGGGCAGCGTGGCCTGCGCCGAGCGCAGATTCAGCCCTACCAGCCACACTTTATAAATTTTGTATCATCTTGGCTATGAATAGCTTCCTCCGCAGCAAGACAGACAGTTCAAAGGGAAAAGAAGGGCCTGAGGCAGGGAGGGGGCGGGGCAAGATGCCCCCCAAATCCCTAACTCAGGTTCCGGAGGACTGAAGGAAAGGGAGGCCAAGACAAGAGTGTCAGAGGACGGGAAAGGCCTCCTTCCA